ACACTTTTTAATACAAGTTGATGCTTTGACATGATCACAGAACTGACAAAACATATGCACAAAAATAACAGACAAAGTGAATCACAGCAACGTCATCAGCCGGTGAGACGCTGAACTGATGCAGTGAAGCTACTAGTAGCAGGGGAGGAGCTACAAGCTACAAACACTGAAGAGAAGAAGAAGAAGAAGAAGAAGAAGAAGAAGAAGAAGAAGAAGAAGAAGAGCTGCCATCGATACAGTTGCAGCCAAGCATGATTTAATGTTACACAATACAGTTTTACCAAGTTGCTCAAAGTCTAAACTGGCATTGTTGTGCATTTAAGGTGTAAAGTTTACCTTCGACCAAACGCCCCCCAAAGGAATCCCAGCGCCCCCCTTTTGTAAAAATTCCCGCCAGCGCCCCCTGAGATCCTCTCAACGCCCCCCGGGGGGCAGTACCGCCCACTTTGAGAACCGCTAGACAAGAGTGTCAATTTATAACCCAGTTTTTCTCCGGGAAAGGTGAGTGGACTGGGGTTGCCACCCGTCCCTTAAAATACGGAATCGTCCCGTACTTGGTTGTTAAATGTTGCGTCAGGTATTGAACCGATATGGGACGCGATTTGTTTCGTATTTTTATAAATGTCCGATAGACACGCCTATCACACACATTGTTACTAAGTGTAACAATAATGACCAAAATAAAACAGGAAATATTGAGGTCAGCTAAATTTTCGTTGCGGGAGCTAAAGGACCCCTGAACGCTACGGACCGAAGCTGTTGTCACGGTTGCCTAGAGACGGACACTACGCAGCCGCAGTGAGCTGCTGTCAACCCGGATATTTTTAAAACATCCTCGACCTGATTCTAGACGGTCCTTAGCAAAACCTCTCGTAAAGATACAGACGTGAGAAGGAAGACGTAAATCCCAGGCTGAATAATGTTAGTGAGGATAATAAAAATAAAAAAAATAATAATGTGTCCATCGTGGTGAGAAGAGGAACACAGCAGACCCTGATATGGTAACATTTTGCTATGATTTAGTTTCTTATTGTGCTTTTAGTAGACTATATTGGTTTGATTATTTGCTTATTTAATGTATAATAATATCAGCCAAAATAATACAAATGATCAATTAAAGAACAAATCATTATTATTATCATTATTATTAATGCACCAGACCCAGACAGGGTCTGGGCGGTTCTAGGTGGGGGCTTACAGGGTACCAAAGAAGTTATACTAAATAAATGTCTTATGTTAATACTCAGTGGTGGATCACTTTTTTTTTAACCTTCACAATTTTACTTTAACAACGAATTAAAAATTATAGTGCTGCACTTTTAGCTGCTGTATGGAGATAGGAACACACTTTCCATCTGCCAGGGATCTGCAACCTGGATCTCTGGAGACACAAGTGGGTCTTTGGCTCACTTATTATATCAAATGATGAAATATTGCTCTGTTTTTTTGTTTGTTTGTTTGTTTCATTCTTTTTCAAGTGTTGCCATGGAAAAACACTGACTATCCTGACCCCTGTGGTAAATCTGGTCTAGAACCAGCCTCCAAACCTAACTCCTTATTTATATAAATATTTTGGTAATACTCTGTAAAATATCAGAATGTTCACATAAATTTTATAATTTTAGTAGTTTGAGTTCACATTTTGAATATTAGATCAGGTGTTATGATCAGTTACTCAGTGGTTTACCAAATACCTTTTACACTTGCTTAATTAGACGTATTTAAAATATACTACTGTGATTGGAGTACAATCTTCGGGTACTCTAACCGACCTCTATGTATGAACGGTTGCTCTATGGATAACTTTTTAAGGACAAAAAACACTGCCATAAAATATAATCTATCACTGCAGCGGCCATCACACCCCATGAGTCGGGCATCACAGATATTTTGATTTCTGAAAGGTGGCAACCCTAATTTAACATGTCCATGTACTTCTTACCACACTTACCAGACGAGTCAGACAGCAGCAGCTCTAACCCCGAAACCAGCATAATCCCTCCCCCCTGTCCCAGTGAAAAAGGTGAGCAACTCTACATTCAGTGACAATCGAGTTAGCATCATTCCAGGGATTTTTCCTGTCTCTCTACTCTCATTACAATTACACAACAAAAACTATGTATTTATTACCCACAGAAATTCAAACAATCTTCATAAAATCTTCCATTTTACTTCCATTCCTCTGGAAGTAAGTGAATGAGGATGATTGACAGCGCAAAGACTGTCCTCCTGATTCTGATTGGTTGTTTTTGGTCAGAACGGTGCATTTCTTTAGACAACAGTAGCAGCTCAGGGAGGAGTTGGAGGAAATTGATTTTTTCACAGATTATCTGTTTCATAGCAAACTGTCATGACATGGTGACAGCTTTAACAAATATGAAAAAACATATTTTTTATTAAAGTTATATTCTGCAGCTTGAACAAAATGCATCAACATAGCATTTTTTTAGAAGTCTGGATTGGTTCATGTATATTTTGCACATTGCCTGTGACTGGTGGGGAGAGACATTTCAATAAGCTAATGTTAAATTAAAAAAAAATTAAGCAACCTGTTTGCTGTATTTTATGTGGACTGTTTCATGTAAAATTCACTAGCAGTGAATATTGTGCTAGTATCAAACCAAAGAAAGCAAGTCTTTAAAATTGTGCCATATGTGTTCATATTGTCCTCATTTTCTAAAAGTCCTTGTCATTGTAGAACGAGATTATTTGAAACTGACAGTGTCAGGGACCAGACTCAAATGAGGACAAAAAAGTGTTCAAAGTAGAAAAAGTTTCAGTTTAATTCTTCTTAATTCTTCTAAAGATTTAATGCAAGAATAAGTCAAAGGATAAGTAACAAATTTGGGCCCAACTTAACTGAGGTCAACTGAACACAAACAAAACTGACCTACAAACTGCTTAACCCTTGTACGTGTGAGGACTGAGGCAAACGTAGAGGACTATGGCAAATGATACAAGTTTTATGTGTGTGGGGTCAGTTGGACCCCATTTCTACATACAAAGGTTAAATAGGGGTGGAGTAACCTAAATCTACCACTTGAGGGAGGCATAACATAATAAAATAAATAAATACAAAAATTAACTAAAGCATCCCACGAAACAAAGCAAAATTAAATTTAACTTAGCACAAACAAAATTAACTAATTAAAATCAACTTGAAACAAAGTCTCCCCCCTTCAGTCTTTTTAAAAAAAAAAAAACACTTTTTTTTTTCAGGTTGTTTTCAGGTTTCCTCCTCTAGGTGGTCTGTAGTTATAGCACCTCAAACAAAAGAACAAGTGTGAGTAAACCATTCAGACAGACATTAACTAAAGTGTGCACCCATTAGAGAACATATGTCTAAATGAAATATCTAACTTGAGCATACTATAACTAATATAAAGAAAAAATACATACTAACACGATGTGGTGGTGGGAGGAGCATCCACCACAGACAACATTTGGTTCTCAGTAATCACTGCTGATGCTTACTTTACTGTGTAAGCATCAGCTTATCTACTGTGGAACAGTAGATTTTATTTTGCCAATATTTACCCACTTAATCACTTTTATTGTTTCTTTTCTATTTGACATATGGATGTTTTTAAGTTGAATAGTTAAAACAGTTTTGTTTTCCTTTATGAAGCTACAAATCTTTATAAATTGCAAAACAATTGTGAAACATTACCCTGCAGACAGAAATCACAGGGTGTTTGTGGCTCATGGCAGTGCAGTCGCCTTTCCACTGACTGCTTTCCTCATCTCGCAGTCAAAGTTTCCTTCCCCTTTTAGCTTCATACCCACTTGAAGTTTTAGAACCACCTCCATTTTGTTCTCTTTGGACTAATTTGTGTGAATGCTGAATGTGAGTACTTGGTGTTTCCAGAGGGCGCAAAAGGAGAGAAGATTCTATAGGAGGTCTGGCACATTAAGTCCTGCTTTTTTAGTAAAAGACAACAAAAACAGATGACCAGTTTGTTTCTATTCTATTCTATTCTACTGTGTTGAGTTGAGTTAAAGGAACACTGTGGAGCCTGCTCTTTCTTTGCTAGGCCTTTGCCTCTTACACCTTCCCCGCCCAGTTCTCCTCTGGCCACCCTGCGTTTTTTTATGATATGACATCAAACCACAATGCATTGCACTGTTTGTAGTTTACCCAAGGTCTCCATGGCGATAAAAACTGGCTCGGCCCCCTTATTCAAATTGAACCGGAAACCAAGATCATTTTGGACCAATCTCTGCGCTCTGGGGTGACATAATGGAATTTTTAGGGGTAGAACGCAAGCAAGGTCTGGCGCTGCGCATAGCAGACGTGCCATCGGGAAAAGACAATGTCATAGGCGCACAGAGGAGACACATCAGAACCCCTGAGGCGCACTACCTGAAGTTCTGGGCTGACAGAGAGACTGCGCACACAGAGGACACAGAGAAAGTGTTCGGATCAACTTTTCCCCCCCTCCTGTCTGTATTGAAACGACTCACAGCCCCTCATGTGAGGGTATAGAATGGAAACAACTCTCTACCCGGTCCCCGTGGTGAACAGCATCAAGAGCACGATGATGAAGAAGGAGATCAGCCTGAACCAGGAGGACCAGAACTCAGAACTGAAACCGAACCCGCTCCGGGACACGGGTGGAATTATAAACTCGCAGGATTTGGGACTCCTAAAACTAGCCTCTCCGGACCTGGAGCGTCTCATTATCCAGTCTCACCCTAACTCTCAGTTCATGTTTCCGAAGTCGGCCAGTGAGGAGCAGGAATTCGCGGAAGGCTTTGTCAAGGCGCTTGAGGACCTTCACAAGCAGAACCAGCTGAGCGACGCAGGGTGCGTGTCCGTGGACCGGCTGGAGCTCCTCGGATCCCCCAGCACCGCCGGATCCACGGGGCTCCAGCCGTCGGACCTCCCTGTCTACACCACCTTGAACGGCTACGCCGCGGCTCCGCTGGGCGCCGCCGCCATTAACTACTCCACGGACACCATCCCCTTCCCGCCACCGCCTACCCACGCGGCCAGCGCGCAGCAGCAGGCGGCCGCCGCGGCGGCGCTGTCACGGCTCCAGCAGTCCGTCAGCGCGATGAAGGACGAGCCGCAGACGGTCCCGGACATGCAGAGCTGCGGGGACAGCCCCCCCCTGTCTCCCATCGACATGGACAACCAGGAGCGCATCAAGGCGGAGAGGAAAAAGCTGCGGAACCGGATAGCCGCCTCGAAGTGTCGCAAAAGGAAGCTGGAGAGGATCTCCCGGCTGGAGGAGAAGGTCAAAACCCTGAAGACGCAGAACACTGAGCTGGCCTCCACTGCCAGCGTGCTGAGGGAGCAAGTGGCCCAACTGAAGCAGAAGGTGATGAGCCATGTCAGCAGCGGATGCCAGCTTTTACCAAACCAGGTGCAGGCATACTGACGCTCTCCTACGGGGAACTGGATGCTCTCCTATAATAACAAACATTAATTTCCTGTAACTACGGATCTTAGCACAGACTTAAGGCGAGGCCGTTATTGCGCATGCTCATAGATCTTGACAAACCAAACTTGCACAGCGACCGACATGAACTATCACCTGGAAACGAAGCAGGTGCGGATCCCAGACTGCCTGGATTCAACAGAAACCGACTGTTTACCAAGCCGTGTAGCAGCCCGCCTCTGTCCAGTGCACCGGAGCGGAACAAACAGAGCCCAGGGTCTTACCAAGTGCTCTCATCTACAATGTAATAGAATATCTTACCTGTTTACAAGCACTTAACTATATTTTATTTACTGAAACATTTAGTCTTATTTCCACCTTCTTTATTTGGTAAAAAGAAGCCCTATCATGTGTCTTGTTGAATATGTTGTTAGTAATCATTGTATTGCTCACTGTAGGGTTTGCTGCTCAGCTCTTCAGTCGCCATACTTTTATGAATGTGTATGAACTGAGAACGTCTGTCTACATTTGTACTGGACCAGTGTCCTTCTGACATCTATTAAATTCACTACATTATTTAACCCCAAGCGTCATGTGAGTCAGTAAGGGGGGAGTTGCTTACAGTTACGATGAATCACTTCTTGTTTTTGCTGCATGGGCCAAATATTATCAGTAAAAAGTACATTAAGGCCTCAAAAAAAAAAAAAAACTTTTTTCCGTTTCTAAACGTAGAATAATTATGTAAATTTTAAATTCAACATTTTTATTGCAGTAATGTAGTCAGACTTATGTTTAAAGGAATTTATAAACCATTCGCATTTTATGAAAGGTGTTGTGCTTATGCTTTCTATGAAAAACACAAGAGAATTTAGAGACAAAAACTGTGTTGTACCAAACAACTTCGATGCTAAGTTTTAATTAAGTGAAAAAAGACTAACCTTTACAAATTACGAAAAGTGTCTCTATCAAATGTGTCTGAATTCAACTTTGACCCCGAACCTGGTCAAGTTTAAGTAAATTTCAGTCTACAAAACAACTGCCCTCTGCTGGCTAAAATATTAACTGACAAATATTTTAAAGAATAAAAATACATTAAGACTTGAACTTTGTGATTTTCTTCTATTTTGTCATAAAAACAAAAAAAAAGTATTTTGGCATGCGATTTTGGTTGGAAGATGTAGTTTAATAATGTCTTCGGTTTTTTCTTCTAACTCAACATTTCCAATTTCAGAATTGGGGAAAAAATAACTGAAGCCTAAATTCCAAGTAAGGAAGTTGGAGACATAGAAATCCAACATGGCTGTCATCCATTTAAATCTCTGATAGCAGCAGGAAACAATAATTGGGGGAAATAGGACCACAATAATCAAAGCCAGAATTATTTCTTACAAATAAGTTGTGTTCTACATGTGACAAGAGTATATTGTGCATGTCTGATCAGAATCTTCCAAACCTTCAGGAGTTATGTCTGAAGAAAGTGAGCTGGACATTTTAGGCCACAACACCAACAGAAACAACACTGGAAGTAACCTAAAGAACATGGCAGTGGTATGAGCGGGACTTTTCTTTGACTGAACTTTTGTTTTTTTTTTGTTATTTAAGATGCATAAAATTGCAAAGAGTTCAAAATATGAATAATGTTGGACACAAACACTTCAGGTGTTTGCTAAAAAGCTGCAAGATAAAGCAAAAGATAAAGCAGGATTTTACTTTTCATTGTCACTAAGAAAAAAAATGGACAAAAGAATGTCTTTAGCTCTAGCATTTGAGATTATTTTATGATTGTGTGATTCAATCCAACTACACTCTCCAATGATACAAAATAGCAGGTAGTTCATAACAGGAACATGTGACTTTAATTGTATATACATCAAATAAGCCAGAATTCATTCTCATGCAGATCTGAAAGGAAATCTGAATGTTACACAATCAATTTGAAAGGTTGTTTGTTCCAGTGCTTGTAGTTTTGTCTCTAACCCTAATTTCTCAACTTTTACTGCAATGCACAGAACAAAAAAAANCATGGTGTCAAATTCATCTTGGTTCATATCAAGATCACAAATATCCTCAGAGGGCCGTCTGTGGCAGAATGTAATGGCAAAAATATTAATAAATGCCTGTTCTTCAAATGAAATATTGAACTTTTTCATGTAATAAAAAAGGTAAAAACTGTTTTTATTTGATTGATTAAACATTTAAGCACACAACTGTAATCTTAAGAGTTGTATTGATGTGGCCCTCCAGAGTCTAAAGGGCCACATAAAAACTTAAGGCGGGCCAGATTTGGCCCCCGGTCCTTGAGTTTGACATGTGACACAGTGGGTTCTGATGATCCATTTAGATTTTTTTATTTTTTTATTCATCCTATAATTTAAATGTGACCGCAGTCGGACTGCAGAGGGATGTGATGCGTTCACTGACTGCTTTACTCCTGGTTCAGCTGTTTCTGTCCTAAACGAAGCCACTAGAGGAGCTCATGCTACAGTTAGCTTGTTCTTTAAATGGTGCAGAGCAAAAAGAGTCCAGCTCTCATATACATCACAGCAACAGCAGCTGATATCTCTATCAGATATCTCTGTTTTGCACTCTGAATGTATTTTGCATGACAGAAGCCGGATTTTAATGGACATAACCACTTTATGTATATTCCTCAGGTGAATGCTTCGCCACATTGGCTCCACAATCCCTTCTGCATGTTTTAAAAGCTCATGCTGTCTATTTATAAAGATAGTTCATTTGCTATTGATTTATTTTTAGATTGAAAATACTGGACTCAAAGATTCATTTATTGATTTCAGATCCATCTTGGGTTCTTCAGAACAGCAACACTGCAGGGCCTGCTTCACAACTTTCAGTTTCAAGGTTGTCCCAAGATTATGCTGGAGAAGACAAAAAGTCCATCCATCCATCCATCCATCCATCCATCCATCCATCCATCCATCCATCCATCCATCCATCCATCCATCCATCCATCCATCCATCCATCCTTTCTTTCTTTCCAGTCTTCTCTAACCATGCTCTTATTGCAGGGGTGGAAACAGATGATGCTTTGTGGGCTTCTGATTCCTCAGTGAAGGCGCTCAGACTGAGTGCTTCCTCTTCCCCTGCTACCTGCTCCAGATAATGCTCTTTGTAACGTGATTAAAGCTCGGGGAAAAGCTTTGAAGCTGCATTCTCTAATTGCTCTGCGGTCGGGTGAAGTAGATTCTACCTCACACCAGTTGTGGAGTAGAGGCTGTGTCTCAGAAAGTAGGTAATGGATACTGAGCAGCCTGGAGAATCAACTTTTAACCTTTGAAAAAATGTCTGTAATCACTTTTCTACTGTGAAAAATACTAAGAAGCTGGATTTGATTAAAACTACTGGATTTGGTTGATTAAAAAATATCATTAAGAAACAATATGATTTACAGTCAGAAAAACTATTATCTGAAGTTTTCATTAAGTACATTACAGCATCAAATCCTTAGAAAAATGATGCTGAGCCACTTATTTTTTCAAATCTGAGCATCTTTATAGAGCATTAAAATACAAGAAAGATGCTCAATGGGATATGATCTTCACTTTGACTGTGTGGAAGAATAACATCATAATGTTCATGATGCCTTATTAAGTGTAGGTTCTGTTATAATATGTCTGCAGCAGGTTGAAGGTGCCACAGTGAGAACATCTGCTGGCTCAGAGATGGACATGATCTTCATGAGATGCTGAGGCTGCATAAGAGTCTGCCTGAAATGGATCATTTTACTGTTTTTTGGGTGATATTTCATATTTATTCTGTCCTGGTTATGACTTTATTCCTAAACAGTCATAACCAGGACAGGTCAGTGCTGTAGATCCTGGTGATCCATTTGACTTATTTAAAAAAAAAAACTTACTCTGGTCCTAATATGTCAAAAAATCCTGTGCAAAAATACAAAGTGACTATTTTGTCTTCAGAAATGGGCAAATATCTGTTACATTACTGACTATGGTCAGCAGCCATTATCAGTGAAGGAGATCTTTTGAACGGTATTTAACAGGAGGAGGAAAAGAAAAGGTAATGCGGTTTTATCTTGAGTGAAACCATTTCCAGAAGTGTTTGGTTAACTGATATCAACTCTGAGCTAGAAAGTGTTTGTGTTTCTATTACCACTAGCAACCATGTGACCAATAAAATAAAGTTTGTTTTTGTGCTCTAGTTTTCATGTCTCTGTTTGCATTGTGCTTACAGTCACCAGAGATTTTAGCAAAAAACCACAAACTTTTCCTCCATCTGAATCGCGACAGGAGATCAGCATTCTGGGCTGCGCTGAGGTATCCTGTGCCAAAAAAACCGCTTTGGTGTGACTGTTTGTGCCTTTCTATGGCTGTTTGTTCGTGCCTCAGTTTCTGCTTTCCGCTGTGTGTAGATGGAAACAGTGCAGCATCATCAGAGACATGCTGGTGACAGAGGTAATGATTCATCCATCAGTAATTAACCTCAGCTGCTGTTGCTGCTTCAGGGCTCTGCGCTCTTTTAGCAAAATATTTAATCAGTAACACATCAAATTAGCATGTTTGGCTAAATAAAATATGAAAACAGCTGCTTTTTATTTATGCATAAAGAATAATCTGAGGTGTTGCAGAGAAACTTCAAAACTACAAGTTTAATGCTTCATTGGAATTTTATGTTCTAGAAGTGATGGTTCACTTTTAGCACACGCTTCAGACAATAAATCAATGTCAGCTGTATCTTATGCCCTCGTCTCTGTATTGTTTTCACTTTTTATCATTTCAACAGTTTGCTAATGTTTTTATTGTAAAGTGTGCTGCTTGTGTTCTTCCTCTGTTAGGTGATTATTGTAAATAATAATTTGTTCTTAAATAATGGTTTAACTAAAATGAATAAACTTGTGAAGTGACGCAGGCTAATGGATGTTACAGCAGGAATGAAGCCATAGAAAGTATCTTCTGCAGTAGTGCCAAGGCGATTTCCAATTTGGTGTTTGACCTGTTAAATCAGTTTTGATCATTTATGAGGTCTCAAATATCCATGAATGTCAGTTAATTATACTAATCATGAAAGTTCATGATACATGTTGACATTTTCAACATGTATCATCATCAGCCGTCTGAGCTTGAAAACCAAATTCATTTGGTGGATCTTGACCACTGAACTGCAGTCAAGGGCCAAAGAAAATCATCCGGAGGGCGCAAATGGCCCTGGGGCCTCATGTTTGACACCCCTGACTCAGAATATTAATAAGCATTGTAGCACAGTATCATGGTATCTTTCAGCAGCTTCATTTTCATATCACTTGTTTTTATTTTCCTTTTTCATTGAAATAAATTTAAAATATTTTCACTTCCTCCATCTTGCTACCAAATAATATTTTTGTTTCTTTCTTTCAGAAGGCAGGATGAATGTTTTGGTTCTTTCTCATCTGGTGGCCCTCCTTCATTCTAACCTTGTCTTCTAGCAGCTTTCCCTTGATAATTCAGAGCCTTCGCATGACGAAGAGGTGATGTACATGCAGCCTACAGCCGTCCACATTCACTAACTTATCGTTTGTTTTCCCCCCGTCCTCCAAAGCCCAGTGGCCATAAAGTAAGAGTCATGACAGACAGCCAGAGGCCTGGTCCCGGGCCCTCGGTCCCAGAGCCTCAGTCAGTTAGCCCTGATGGCGTAGCGGGCTGCACATGGGCTCCCAGCTGATAAATGAGCTGACAAGCCTTCTCGCCGTTACTCATTCCCCTCCTTGGGGAGGGAAAGAAAAGAGAAAAATTGGAACATTAGGAAGAGGAAAGGAGAGAAAGACGGAAAGAAAAAAATGAACTGACTGTAGCACGGCTATTTTTAGTACGCCTGTTACATGCTCCATTAATTTGAGATGGTGGGAGAGAGACGTGGGTGGGAGGCTAAGGAGGGGGACAGGTGAAAAAAGAGATACTGAGGAAAAAGAAATGACACGTAATATTGGAAACATAATA